AAACACACACACTCTCTCTCTCTCTCACTCTGTGTGTGTGTGTGTGTGTGTGTGTGCGTGTGTGCGTGCGTGTGTGTGTGTGTGTGTGTGTGTGTGTCTGTGTGTGTGTGTGTGTGTGTGTGTGTGTGTGTGTGTGCCCAGCTTTGCTAGTCCGGAGACCCGACATGGGGGGATAGCAGGATTGAAGATGATATGAGTCTTCGTACTTCAAAGATGATTCATAATAACAAGATTTTATGATAGGGATGACGGAAAACACCTATGGCGTGGAGTTGAAGACGACGAGACCCAAGGCTAAATGGACAGAGATCCACTCTATGGCACAGACATGTAGCAGTCAGACTTATTGGAAAATCTTGGCCTGAACAACTTAACAGGGCTCACCCTTGTGACGAGTCGCTCAAACTGTGACAAAACAGTTTGTCACCACCCCTAATTTACTGTCCTCTTCTCCCATTGACCGCCCCGTGAACGGTAGGCTGCCTACCGTTCACGGGGCTGTTCTCTAAATGGACAGAGATACATTCCTATCTACAATGTTCGATCAGACTCATCAGACTCATCAGACAAGATAGGAATAAAATTCAGCTTGTTAAAATAATAAAATAACAGCTTTCTTGAAGCTAAACATTGTGCTATCATCGTGTGAGAACGTATCTCGCAACAACAGCTTGTTAAAATATAATAAAATGAAAATTAAAAAAAACTTTTAAAAAGTATCTTGCAAACTCACCTGCGCTTGAAACTGCATGTTTTCAGTGTTGGCCCTCTGAAGTTCAGCCTTCAACTCTAACACCTGCGAGCGCAGCATTGACCAACAAATAAGACTCCGTATTTCCGCTACTGGCATATCACAGATGCTGCCATATTCAATAATTTTCCGATGGCCTTTTGCGATTCTCTACACACATGCATTCCCCTTCGCCTTTGTTTTTTTTTTTTCAAAAACAACACCCCCTGCAGTGTTCGCGCTGCTGCTAAAAGCAGGCACCTTTTTTTTTTTTTTGTTTTTTTAAACAACACCCCCTGCAGTGCTAGTGCTGCTGCTAAAAGCTGGCACCACTAGCACCCGGGGAAAGGCTCCATCTATTGGTGGGGAGCGTCACCTGCTGCTGGAAAACGGGTCCAGCGTCCGTTGCATTCCCCTTAGACTGGCTTTGATTTTTGCGGAATTTTTGCGACAAAATCAAGCAAGCAAGCAAGCAAGCAGCAAATCCCCAACCTGGATTTGCAAATACAATGTATATGGGAACACTGATTCCCAATCATATTCAGATTTTTCATCAAACATAACATAAATTGAAAGGGAAAAAAAAAAAAAAAAAAAACCCATAAATTGAAAGACTGATTAACAATGATCAATGTGTCACAAGTATTACCACCGTCGTCCATACACGATCATGGGCTCAAATCCTGATGAGCAGATCATGGGCTCAAATCCCCATGTGGGGGAATGATACGCACAAGTGACTGTTAGCAAACAGATCATGGGCTCAAATACTGATTGACTAAGATGAATAGAATACCATTAAGGTTTACAATAACATAAGGGCGTCTGCCGGTTTTCCCGAAAACAAAGATACTGCAGGTCTGCGAGATCTGTGCTATACCATATCGGCATGTAACTGACCGTAAGCAGATCGAGAGTTCAAATCCCGATAGAATAATATGAAATACAATAATAACAATGGAGTCTACCCCCTTTCCGAAAGCAAAGATACTGCCAAGGGTGCATGTACTACAGCATCTGCCCGATGGAATGATATGCACATGTACTTGTTAGTACACAGATTATGAGCAGCTTCACACAGATTAAGAACAGACACAGGCCTCGTACCTGGTGCCTGTGTCATGGGTCTGTCCACAGGTCTCACCTGGTTTTGCAGAAGCTTGTGGTTCACCTCCACTGTTTCCAGCCGTCTCCTGTAATCTCGGATCTGTGAGCAGAGTGAAAAACTATTAGCTAGATTTTCAAAAGACACAGGACGTACGCGTCCTATCCACTGCATTCCCACACACACACACACACACACACACACACATCATCACACACACACACACACACACACACACACACAGAGAGAGAGAGAGAGAGAGAGAGAGAGAGAGAGAGAGAGAGAGAGAGGATGGATGAAAGACCAAACCGGGCAATGACAAGGGGCATGAATACGTGAGCCACGTTGGGAGATTTTATGTATGGTTGGGAAAACATGGGTGACAGAGGGGAATCCTGTGGACTCCAAATATAAACTGTGACAAATATGATTAGAATGAGGGTAATGTGAGTGGAAGAAGAGAGATTCACCTACCTGCCCTCCAAGCTGAGTCCGGCCATATTGGGCTACCTTAAGCCTTTCAGTGACTTTGGCTAGCTCCTCAATAGCCATTTGTCCTTCCTGCATATGCCAAGAGAAGGCTACGTCATCAACCCTCGATCAATTTTTACAATTTTATGGCACTTGGTTGTTTTTCAAATTTAAATCTTAATAACATTTAATGTTTTCAGCCTAGAATCCTATGATACATACTGAATAGTAAATAGTCTGTTCTTTGAACTTTTCCCAGTTTTTTTTTTTTTTTTTTTTTTTTTTTGGGAGCGTCAGTCCGGATCCTTGTACACTTGGGAAGGGGGGGTGGGGGGAGGAAGGGGGGAACAATGACAGTCAATCCTTCCCTCAGGTGAATTCTTTGTTTTCTGTTTCCGTCTGAATTCTTGCTGCATATTCTATTTAGCAGAGAGTAAAGGACCTTTAGGGGATGAGACTAATGACAGCACTGTCAGCATCTCCATTAGGAAAATTGCTATCCTGTGCTTTGCCACAACTCCACTTGTTTGTAATACTTGTGTAATTTAATATTTATTTATCTTCATGAGGCCTCATGAGGGCCAATTGGTAATGACTATAATGTGACTAATGTTAGCACTGTCAGCATCTCCTGACACGCACATAGCTACTTTCTATGTACATGCAACATCACACACGTGAGTCGTGCAATATCCAAGTAAATCCGTGGACCAAAGGGAGAAGAAAGAAAGAAAGATAAAAAGATAAAGATAAAGAAGATAGTCCCAAAGGAGCTCAAAGCGTACAGTGCACGGTCAGCACAGCCACGGTCTATCACACACATTAGGGGATGTTCTAAAGAATGCCTACAGAGGTTTCCTATTTACATTCGAATTTCTACACAGAGTCTGATAGACATTAGAGTTCCCAAACTTTAAAACCATTTATTAAAAAAAAAAAAAAAAACAATGATTAAAATTGAAAACAGTTATTATTCAAAATCCGAATCGAGACACATAAATACAAACCTCTGCTATAGGCAATTGCTTTGCGCAGTCACAAACGTGATCTGCAGAGAGTTGCTGTAGGGGGATAGCCAAGTTTAGCCAAGTTTAGCCAACTACAAAGTTTAGCCAACTTTAGCCAAGTACAAAGAATTTTTGCAGGGGGATAGCACTGAAAACAAACACTTAAACAGATGTACGTTCTTGATACACAGCTCTTCAATTCATAATTTATAATTTATAATTCTCTGAACAGTCTTTGAACCTGCGTAGCATCGTGTTCACGTTCGGAGGCGAACCCGAACATGTTCTCGTCCGAGAACGCGAACTAGCCGCCCAAAACCCTCCGAACGCGAACATAAAAAAAAATATAAAAAAAAGTCTCAGAAAAATGTGAGAAAAATATATGTCATGTAAAACAACAATACAAGCAACTTTTGCCTTGGAGTCATGTTCAAATTCTTAGCCAAACGTGAGTTAACAATCAGAAACCGAAAAAAAGAAAAGAAAATTAATTTTTACTTTTATTTTTACGAAAAAAGATTATGTTCCCCCGAACATGTTCGCCAGCTACTCGCGCGAACGCGCAAATGGGCAGGGGCGCGAACACGTTTGCCATGCTACGCAGCTTTGAACTTTAGTATAACACGTCAGCCCCCCCCCTGCGGATAAGCCGTGGCTCAGAAAGTCTGAGCAGAGTATGAGATGAAACGACGAAGGAGGGCCACGTCAGCCAAACCGAAACGCCAAGCATTCTTATTTTTTGCCCCCCCCCAAAAAAAAAAAAAACGGTAAGCCAAAGGCAAAGGCTCCAGCCCAACCCGTGGAGCCTCAGTCGGTAGGCCCCTAAACTGAACTGCTGAACCACAGACCTGAGTTCAAACTTCAAACTCCACTGGAAGCAGGTGAGCAACATACTACCAAAAAAAAAAAAAAAAAAAAAAAAGAAACGGTAACACTCAGTTACTCACGGCATGCACAAAAGACAAAAAATTATTTAAAAATATGGCGGTGTATTCCAGTGACTTCCTCAGTGCACAAAATACTCTAGCAGAAGATTCATTTTCATTTTGCACATTTGGTGAGCAGTGGAGCGAGGCCCTATATCTCACTGCCGTCGCCCTTCCGGTGACTTCCTCAGTTGCACTCCAGTACTATCCACATGCAGAAAAGGACAATGAATCCTCTGCCAGAACATGCCCAGATACACCGCCGTATTTTTTGTCTTTTGTGCATGTGGAGAGCTGTGGAGCCAGGCCGTTAATACGTCGTTCAACTTTTTGTTTCTGTTTTTGTCGTTTTCAGCCACCACTGCCACGCGCCGTGGGTTTTTAAGGGTCAGGCTCCACTACTCACGAAATGTGCATATTGATAATGAATCTACTGTTAAAACATGGCAAGATGCAGCTGGCAGAAAAGACAAAAACCGGAAAAAGCCAAACGACGTGCAGTGTTAAAAACGAACCCCTGTGCCACAGAAAAATGGCAGTGCATCTTCCCATGTTTGAGGGGAAGATTCATAAAACAAAAAAGAAAAAAAAAACGAAGAAATGCTGTGCAGTGCCGCGGCAACGACGAAATCACACGCCTGAGACCAAAGCCTTCCGCCGCTCTGTACTTGCATTCGAACATGCGGCCGAGGATTTGCAAACGCTCCAGCCCCATGTGGCCCACACATCACCCCGGGCCCAAGAGGGAAACGCGGTTTCCAAATCGTGTATGCCTGGCCTTGTGGGAGCATCACGCTAGACCCGGCTTACACTTTAATAAGAGTACTGGATTAGTATAGAAGGTGTGGTATTGAACTTTTAACAGTCCTTGAGATTCGGAGGTGGGGCCCGACGACGACTGCCACTAGTACCTCCGCCAGTGTTGGGAAAATAGGGAAAAGTGGCAGTTTTCCCAAACTCCTAAAGGTTCGGAGGTCGGGCCCGACGACGACTGCCATTGATAAATCTGATCGGCGGTCGTCACTTCGTTTCAGCCTCCGAAAAAGTCGCGAGGACCAACCGAGGCCCGCTATTTTCCCACGCGGCAAAGGTACTAGTGGTTTGACGTTGTTTTTGAGCTGTAGTATAAAGGATAAAGGTGTGGCCTTGGACTTTTAATAAAGGCGTAGTGACAAGTCTAAATGGGACAGAAGGAAGTCTACAAGGGATTCCATGACCTGCTTCGATGACCTGCTGGTGGCAGTGTGCTGGCTGCTGAATGTACTAACCAGGAGTGACACAAGGCACAAGGGCAAGACACAGAAATTACCATGCACTTCTGCTCAAGGATCTGTTTTTCATTTTGCAGCTTGGCATTCCTTTCCTGTTGTATGCAGACCGACATCCACCCCGCCCCAACCCCCACAAACTCCAGCCCCACAACCACAACCACACCCCCAACCCCCACGACCCCAACATGACATCCCTACCAGAAAGTCAAATTTCAATGCATAATGCACATGTATCAGGATTGATTCAGCAACAAACACAGAGCAGAAATGGCAAACAACAATCCATTGATCACACATACCAATCACCAATCTAAGAATGTACAATGCTGGAACTCTCTTTGCAGCCACCACGTGCGCCCCGTGCCACTCCTCTCACTATCCTCCTCTTCCTCCCCAAGAGCTCACCCCTTCATGCGCCACCTCTCTCTCTCTCTCTCTCTCTCTCTCTCTCTCTCTCTCTCTCTCTCTCTCTCTCTCTCTCTCTCTCTCTCTC